ACTAGGAATGCTAATTGCGTCTTTGGTTCTCAGTCAATAGCATTGGTATTTTATTTTTATTTATCTATTTATTTTTTTGAGTTGGAGTCTCACTCTGTCGCTCAGGCTGGAGTGCAGTGGCACACTCATGGCCACCCCAGCGTCGACCTGCTGGGCTCCGGGGGTCCTTCCTCCTCAACTTTCAAGTAGCCGGAACTACAGGCGCGCGTACCATGTCCGGTTAATTTTTTAAATTTATTGTAGAGACGAGGTCTCGCCAGGTTGCCCGGGCTGACCTCGAACCTGCGGGCTCAGACAATCTACTCGTCTCGGCCTCCCAGAGTGCTGGGATTACAGGCTGAGCCACCAAGCACCACCCTAGCGCTGGTATTTTAAAAAGAGAATCACTGGTTTATGAAGAAGGAACCCAACCATCACCTAACGAGATAAGTATGGAAAGGAAAGAGAGAAAAGCAATAGTAAGAGTAGTAGCTCAATGCGGTATGTTTCAAACCACCATGAAATCGATTCATCAAGACATGTCCTTCAAGAAACAGAGGGTGGTGTCTCATTACCCATTTGGATATCTGCTCTTAGAGCAGATTTACAGATCATTCTCCTATGTGCCTGTTTGAGCAGGCCATTGTGAAGTGGAGAGACACGATGGAGCAGAGAAGGAGGGCAGTGGAGAAGTCTACGTGTCAGTCATTGATTTCCTGTGGGTCAGGTGGACTCTGGGAAGTAACTTAAACCAGGTGTCCCCAACTCGTGGGCTACTGACCTGTTAGGAACCAGGCCGCACAGTAGGAGGTGAATCGCAGGCAAGAAAGTGAAACTTCATCTGTGTTTTTTGTTTTTTTGAGTTGGAGTCTCACTCTGTCGCCCAGACTGGAGTGCAGTGGCTGCTCCCGGCCACTGCAGCCACGACCTGCTGGGCTCCGGCGATCCTTCCGCCTCAGCCTTCCAAGTAGCCGGAATTACAGGCATGTGCTACCACGCCCGGCTGATTTTTTGATTTATTGTAGAGATGAGGTCTCGCTGCCCAGGTGGGTCACGAACCCCGCGGGCTCAGGCAATCTCATCTGTGTTTACAATCGGTCCCCATTGCTCGCATTACCCCAGAGCTCCGCCTCCTGTCAGGTCAGCAGCAACATTATATTCTCTTAGGAGCGCGAACCCTATTGTGAACTGCGCATGTGAGGGATCTAGGTTGGGTGCTCCTTATGAGAATCAAATGCCTGATGATCTGAGGTGGAGGTGAGGCGGTGATGCTTGTGCTGGGGAGCAGCTGCAAATACAGATTAACATTAGCAGTGAGGTTTGACTGCACAGAGACCATAAGAATCAATTGCTTGCAGACTCATATCAAAATCCTATCAGTGAGAGGCAAGTGAGTTGAGGTACTTCAATTGAACAATTACATCTGGTGGCAGACTTTAAGTGAGAATCAAACACTTATTTTAGTCCATGTGTGCCCTGCCCATTCTTCTATATACCACTTCCATCCATGCCTTTTTTTAAAAAATGGCGAGTTGTAAAATTATTTCATTATATATATTATCATGTGATAATAGAAACAGAAATAGGGTGCGGTGGCTCATGCCTGTAATCCTAGCACTTTGAGAGGCGGAGGTGAGAGGATTGCCTGAGTCCAGGGGTTTGGGACCAGCAAGATGAGGTGAGACCTCATCTCTATAATAAATAAAAAAAAGATTAGCTGGGTGTAGTGACGTGTGCCTGTGGTTCCAGCTACTTGGAAAGCTGAAGCAGAAGGATCTTCTGAGCCCAGCAGGTTAAGGCTGCGGTGGCCATAAGTATGCCACTGCACTCCAGCCTGGGTGACAGAGTGAGACTCTGACTCAAAAAAAAAAAAAAAAAAAAGAAAGTACACAATAAATGTTATGCACATGAATCATCCAGAAGACATTCCTCCCCATCCCCCACCAATCTGTGAAAAAATTGTCTTCCATCAAACTGGTCCCTGATGCCAAAAAAGGTTGGGGACTGCTGATTCGAACTATCTTTCCAGTGCCCCACCCACAAGAACTGGCCACTGGGTAAAGAGACCCCGAGAGCAAAAAGCTTGCAGTGGACTAGCAAAGGTGGGGTCTCAGGTGGCTGTGGAAAAGCAAGAGTCAGAGTCAGAGCCCCAAGAGGGGTTCGGTTCTGCAACTTGTTGTCTCTTCTGAAGAAAAACTCATTAAAAATACTGAGTGAGAGAGCGAGCATGGGGATGCCTGCCTGCAAGCCGTGGATGGCCAAGCAGTCTTAGCCAGAGAAGCAGTGGCAGCAGACAAGAGATCACCACAGAAAGTGAAGAGAGGGATGCCCCTTGTAGCTCTCTTTTCCACCCAAACCCACTGGAGGAGAAAGAGACCCAGAAGAGGAAGGGGTGGAAGCATGGAAACCAAGACATTTTTCTCCTCTGCATCTGTACCATTAAAAAGGGCAGAGAGGAGTAGGTAAGCATTAACTGGATCTGAGACTGAGACCTTAAGCTAGACTTTATGAGATGAGAACATACTGAAAACACCTGGAGTCCACCCAATATACCATTATGGGACTGGAAAGAGAGATTTGAGAGAGAAGGATGGAATACAATTTCTGGGGAGAGGAAAAAAACACAACTTTTGTTTAAATTCCACCATCATGAGATTTCTCAATAACCTGTATCCTGGTCCTTTTCAGTAGGGTGGCTAGGGAAGACATCTCTGAGGAGGTGATGCCCTGTGTTTGGAGGATGAGAATGAGCAGCCACAGAGGAGCTGGGGAAGGATGATTTGGAAGAAAAGGAATAGAAAGTAGAGCCCCAAGGTGAGGAAGGCACTGGCATATTGCAAGAACAGAGAAGAGACTGGAGGGGCTGAAGGGAGGATGGGCACAGGATAAGATGGGGAGGTGAAAGGACCCAAAGCGCAATGGCCTGTGGTCTGCTGAGGTGTGTGCAACTGTTTTTTGTAGCTTCTCATAGTTGTCAAGTCTTATGTGCTTATTTAAAAGATTCCAGCAGTGCACCTTCTCCTCTGTAGTCCAAATTCCCAAAGGTAATGACCATTCATTTTTTTCCAGACTACTCAGCAACTCTGTGTTTCCATGCATATATTTTTATATGGATGAAAACTTATATTTATGCAATCTAATTTTTTCCACTTGAAAATATATCATGGATCTCCTTCTGCCTTGTTAGTTAAATGATGCTAAATTCAGCCCATGCAGCCATTAGACATCATGATGCCACTCTCTAGTTGTTAGTTGTTGTCCAGAATGACATTCAAAGTATGTTGAGTGAAAAGATAGATTATATAGCAGAATGCATACATAATCCCATTTTTCATAAAATATAAATGTGTATTTATTTACATCTTCTTATACTGGAAAAAGTGTAGAAAGATGAACACCAAAATATTAACCATGGTGGGATTTCTGGGTTCTCCTCCCTTTTTTAGCTATTATTTTTGTTAATTCCTACAGTGAATATGAGGAAACAACATTCAAAAATAAAAAACAACGAAAGCAAATAGGACAAAATGGTGACATTTGCACGTAACAGGTCATGGATGCTTGTTATGTTATTCTTCATACTTTGTGTGTGTTTTTAATTTATCTTTAAAAAGGCATATTAGAGTTCTCTCAAAAAACAGGATATTATATACTTATAATTTATATATGGGGTACCAAAAAAATGTATACACATTTGCTCAAAAGATGGCATTAATCAGATGAATGCTAGCATCACCATGCGACAGGCAGGGCAGTAGAACTGACCAGCACAACCATCTACCAAGTGTGAGTTGTTATCAGTATACATGGAGTACTACAACTTTGATATCATTTTTTCCTTTCTTAAAATGTGTTTACATTTTTTGGCACCCTCTGTATAAAGAGATTTAAGAAAACTTTTTTGTTGTTGTTGTTGGAGTCTCACTCTTGTTCCCCAGGCTGGAGTGCAGTGAAATGCTCACGGTCACTGCAGCCTCAACCTGCTGTGCTTAGGTGATCCTTCCGCCCCAGTCTTCCAAGTAGCTAGAACTACAGACACACGCCACCACACCCAGCTAGTTCTTGTGATTTATTGTAGAGATGAGGTCTCACCAAGTTGCCCAGGCTGGTTTCAAACCCCTGGGCTCAGGCAATCCTCTCACCTTGGCCTCCCAAAGTGCTGGAATTACAGGCTGAGCCACCACACCCAGCCAGGAATCTTAAATAGACATAGGAAGAGATATTTTAAGATACTGGTTCATGAAATTATGGAGACTGAGAAGTCCCATGAATTGCCACTTGCAAGCAAGAGACCCAGGAAAGTGGTGTAGTTCAAAGGCTAGAGAGCCAATGGCATAGACTCACATCCAGGTCTGAAGACCAGAGAACCAGGTGCACCAAGGGCAGAAGATCAGTGTCCCGACTCACACAGTCAGGCAGAGTTAATTCAACCTTCCTCCAACTTTTTGTTCTAGTCAGGCCTTCAGCAGATTGGATGAAGCATACTCACATTGGGGAGGCTCATGTGCTTTATTCAGCCCATTGATTCAAACTTAGTTTCTCTGGAAACACCTTCACAGACCTAGAAATGATGTTTAACAAGGCATCCAGACATCTCATGGCCCAGTCATGTTGAACATAAAATTAACCATCACAAAGGGGAAGAAGACAAGTATAAAATATCATGTAAGTTCAGACACACAATCAACAACTTACAAAAATAACTATGCATCATGTTGATAGACACCATGTTTCCAAAATAATGGGCTATTCTTGGTGTCTCGTAACTTAAAAAATAAAAACCTACAGACACAAGGTAACACTGAATTTGTTCTAGAGGAAGGGAAATGGCCATGTATATTATATCATATCACTTTTGCCATTCCAGAGCAGAATATTAATATGCAGCCTCTTCCCGCCACACAAATTGAGTCCCATGCAGACACAAGGACCTTATAAAATCTCAGAGGTTTCTTCTTGAGCCTGGAATAAGAATCAGGCTTTTCTTGAATAAATTAAGGACTGTGAATCAAGCAACTGACCTTTTTGTTCTTGCTTGGCCCAGAAAATTTTGACTCGCTGGCGAATGTGCTTGCCTTCGCGCAGTTTCTTTTGCCACTGACGCAATTCTTGAATCTCAGGATCACGGCGAGTCTGGAAAATTCCAGTTAAAGTTTTAGTACCTTTTCGGTATACTCCTAGACATTGGCTTATTAACCCTGAATGGAAAATCCTTTACAAATCAATTGGATGTACTTTTGATTTTCAAGGATGTATTTTTCTAAATGAATTATCTACACTCCTAAAGCTCACATCATATTTGAGCACAAATGAGGTTGTGTGACGATTTGCTCCACTAAGAGTAGGTTGCGAGCAAATAGGTCTGTCTGTCCAATAGATATGTAATGTCGCCACATGTGTAATTTTAAATTTCCTCATGGTGGCAGGGCGCGGTGACCCACCCTACAAGATAGCTCTTAGGTATATCATTGTGGTTTGATTTGCATTTCCCTAATTATAAATAACATTGAGCATCTTTTCATGTGTGTGTTGACCATCTGTGGATCTCCTTTGAAAAAAGTATCTGCTGGGCACGGTGGTTCATGCCTATAATCCCAGCACTTTGGGAGGCGGAGGCAAGAGGATTTTCTGAGCCCCTGGGTTCAAGACCAGCCTAGGCAACTTGGTGAGACCTCATCTCTACAATAAATAAAAAAAATTAGCCATGCATGGTGGCGCATGCCTGTATTTCCAGCTACTTGGAAGGCTGAGGCAGAAGGAATCCAAGCCCAGCAGGTCAAGGCTGCAGTGGTCGTGAGTGTGCCACCACACTCCAGTCCGGGCGATAGAGTGAGATTCCGGCTCAAAAAAAAGGAAAGAAAAAAATATCTATTCAAGTCCTTTGCCCTTTTAAAAATTGGGTTGTTTGTCATTTTGTTGTTGAGTTGTAAGAGTTCATTATATGTTCTGGGTATTATACGCTTTCAGACATATGATTTACAAGTATTTCCTCCTATTCTGTAAGGTTTTCTTTCAGTCTCTTGATAGTGTCCTTTAATGCACAAGGTTTTAAATTTTGATGAAATCAAATTTTCTTTAGTTGTTTGTGCTTTTGGTGTCATATCTAAGAAGCCATTGCCAAATCCAAGCTCATAGAGATTTACCCCTTTGTTTTCTTCTGTGTTATATAGTTTAGCTCTTAGATTTAGCTTTTTGATCCATTTTGAATTAATTTTTGTATATGATGTGAGGTAAGGCTCTAATTTCACTTTTTTGCATATGAATATCCAGTTGTCCCAGCACTATGTGTTGAAGAGACTATTCTTGGCCCCACTAAATGGTCTTGGCACCCTTGTCAAAAATCAGTTGACTAGAGCAGTATGGACTTATTTCAGGACTTCCAATTCTACTTCCACAATGGATGGTTGATTTTTGTTTTTGTTTTAAGTTAAAATGTATTGGCATTCAAATAAGGTATAGAAATTGTAAATAAAGCTAGGCCTACAGCTATTAAATTCTTACATATTTAATACAGCTTCTGATTTATCATATTAACATTCCAAAAATGTTAATCACAGCTGGATTGGAAGTATTTGAGAAATGTAGACATATTGTTTATGTATTACATTGTAAGTCTACTGGAGATCCAGAGATATTTGCCTTTGTGGAATTTGAGACAAAAGAATAACCAGCAAAAGCTACTGAGGTAGGTCCAGCTTTATAACTAAAACATGGAAGCATTCTCTCTTTTTTTTTTTTTTGAGTTGGAGTCTCACTCTGTTGTCCAGACTGGAGTGCAGTGGCATGCTTCCGGCCACTGCAGTCTTGACCTGCTGGACTCCAGCGATCCTTTTGCCTCAGCCTTCCAAGTAGCTGGAACTACAGGCATGCGCCACCATGCCCGACGAATTTTTTGATTTATTGTAGAGATGAGGTCTCGCCAAGTTGCCCAGGCAGGTCAGCTACTTGGAAGGCTGAGGCGGAAGGAATCCAAGCCCAACAGGTCAAGGCTGTGGTGTCCGTGAGCATGCCACTGCACTCCAGTCTAGGCAATCAGGATCTAAGCATACAAGAATCTTTGTATTTCTGTACTGTGACAACTGATAACCTTAATGAGAATAAACTCAAAAGACCTTCGAACCCAGGAGGATTGCTTGAGCCCAGGAGTTCAAGACCAGCCTGGGCAACAGGACAGTCCACTCACCTCGGCCTCCCAAGGCGTGGGATTACAGGCTGAGCCACTGAGCCCGGCCCTCTTTTTTAATTTCAAAGCATATACGTAGCCGGGCTCGGTGGCTCAGCCTGTAGT